GTGCAGACTAACTTAACACTGTAGCTGCTTTTTACTGTTGTTAACATGTTAGAAGTGTGATGTGCTATTGACATATTTATATACTAAGCATAGCTAATTAAATGTCTACAAGCTTTCGTACTCAAGGACCAGCATGTACTTGAATGTTGACTTTGATGGAGAAGGAAGTGTATGTTATATTCATAAACAAATAATGCTTGTACATTGCTTCTTCTTGCCGTATGACGTTAAAAAAGAAGGTCTTGCTCCAAGGTTTTTATTTAAATACATGACACTTGGGGAACATTATTTCTCACAATCCACTTTACCAAATTTGATTTATTGCACTTGAAAGAATAAACTATTGCTGTAGTAAGAATTTCTAAAAATTAAACTATTATCTTTTTTTAAAAGTATTGAGTACATTGAAATTGAAAAATAAAGATAACTGTTGAGTCCAGAATTTGGTAACTCTGCAGTTTTGAATACTGCATCTAATTACATTTAAGTGTACAGTGTTGATATTTGATACACTCCTGTGAACTATGGTGATATAGAATCCACCACTATGCTCTAAACTTTAGAGCATAGTGGGGGATCCATATTTTTCTAGCTTATATTTTTCAAATTTAATGATTTTTTGCCAAAAAAAAAAAAAAAAAAACTTCGGGCCCTGCATACTAGTTCCGCTTTTTGTGGTTACTGGGACACAGACACACTAAGACCTCATTATAACAGTCACATCTGCCAGAGAAATACTTTGTTATAGCCAAAAATAGTAAATGATTATTTGTAACTCGGTATCTATGACAAAGCTATTCTTCACTTTGCTGTAACAATAATGGGTTATATCCAAACCAAATTCATTATTATTGAAGTGTGTGTGTGTGTGTGTGTGTGTGTACACACACACACACACACACACACACACACACACACACACGTGTCATGAAAATCCGCTTATAAATACTTTATGAGCTTGATGCTTATTTGAACTAATGGTGCTGTTGTTGACTTTGTGCTAACGCTTTCTCCTACGCCAGTTTTTATACCACCTGGCAATCTATTCTGCAGGAATCGCCAATTGTCGTGCTATGCCTAACAATGAATGACCCTTGGTATGGCATGACAAAAAGAATTGAAGTGCTCAGAGAAACTTGCAGAATTGGTGGATAAAAAGTAATTTACTGATTTTGTGAGTGTGATCCAGTCATGAGGTTGAAATATTGTAAAACAAAACATGTGATTCAATAAAGTTCAGTGGGCATCCCATAGAATTTACTGGTAGCAGTTGTTGAAACTTTGTAACTTGGCTTACTATGAGCCAAATTATTTCTGTGTCTTTTTTTTGCACCTGAAGCGCCAGTGTAAATGCATGTCAATGATTTTCCATAAACTAAGGTAGGACACTTGCGATATGTGTATGTTACAATTGAAGCTTCTTCAGTTGTTTTGTAGGCGATTCCACTTTTCTTTGTAGTCTACAATGAATTAGGTAAGTGAGCTGTATTTTTAAGACTAGGTGCAGATGCGTTCATTTTTAAAGGGAACACCTGTATGCGCAGCATTTTTAGAATTTTATATCTTACAGAGGCATAGCGGCTTTGATCTGCATAAGATAACCGTTGGTTGGGAGCTCTGAGTCCCTTTAACAGACTAGTGACGTGCACAACAGACTAGTGACGTCCGCTTGCTGTTAGAAGGCCAGCAATATTGATGGTGTTTATTCAATTGTTCCCTTTAACAGTGGACTCTACTGTACATCAACATTAAAGGTCACTGGTAAAAGCTAAAGATTGCAATTCTCATTAGACATAAAGTTCGAAGCTTGCTCAGCCCCTACTATCATCTATAGTGCCCGATTTTCTCTTTCTTTCGTCCCTGTGTGGGAAAGCTAGCCCAGGCAGCCTAATTTAAAGCTCATGTGTCTAGCTCAGTTATAATTTGATTTTTTTCAGTGTAGTACAAGTTGCATGTTCCAGAAGAGTTTGCTGCTTGAGTCAACATTATTATTGGGGTGTATCTGACATAGAAAGTAGTGTGGCACTTGAATGCTTGTCTTTTTTGTTTGTTCCATGGCATTCCAGCTCTCTAGTTTATATTCAAATTTTTTACTGCATGGATAGACAGTTTATTTTACGAAATATTTAAGCCTAATTAAGCTCTTTGAACGCTATCAGACTGCACTGAGAAGGAGAAAATTAAAGAGTATTAGGTTGCGGTTACCATCACAAATACGTTCATCAACCATGGTTGTCGGTTGTAAGAAATAGAAAAAAGATAAGTCTTGAAGTTGCAGATTCCTGGTATGCTTATGATTGAAAATATATGATGCTTTAAAGGAGTACTGACATGAATAATAAATAGTTTTTTTATTAAAACATTTGTTAAAAAATAGAAACACTGGTGTTGGGAACCGTAAAAAAAGAGTATTGTGATGCTGGGGTATGTATCGTATATATTTTAATACCTTCTTGAAAAAAAAAAAAAAAACACTTTCAGTTTCGATATCGAAGGGGTTTCTTCTCAAGTACACGTTATGGCAGTGTGGCATCATGGGGAGAGGTAAATTTGTGGTGTATTAGCAGTCTGCTGTGGTGTGTTAGCAGTCTGCTGAGGTAGGTATCTGCCGAGGCGAGCAAAAAACACAATGATGAGTAAATTGCCTCCAGAGGCCCCCTAGGCATAGGTCAGCGAAACTTAGGGAGCTCACTAAGACTCGCTCATGAAATATATTTTGAGCTTTAGACTCTGTCGCACTCATACTTCTGTTCTAGCCTTGAGGGCTAGTATAGAACAGAGTTCCAGCAGTAAAATGCAGCACAACTCACTTTAATTATACCAGAACACTGGCAAGCTGATCGGTTGAGAACCTCATCTATCTCTCTCGCTGCACGTGCCCTTCGTTGTTCTCTTCATGCTGAATATTGAAACCGGCAATATTTTACTTAACTTATTTGCTTCTGAAACCTAACTTCATTCATGCCAGCTATGTTTAGATAATTGTCTTCATTCCATTTTGTACTGTTTCTGCTTCATGTTGTGGATGGAAACAGTTTCACTTGCTTTACTGAATTGTTAGGGCTTGAAATATTATAAGAAGCCTATCACAAAGGTGGTTTGTTATTTCTTTTGTGGAAATTTTGCATTTTATTGAAAATATGACTTGAAAATTTGAAGCTTGAATAATTTATAATTGAAGTTGAGTCAAATTACTTTTGAAAAGTTTGGCTGCCCGGTGTTTCTAGTGCAAAGACCGCTTTATTTTACTATATTTTAAGACCTCGAAACTCGGGCAATTATCAGCCTTTATGTGACCTTCTTTTGTACCCTCATGCATTCATACCTTTTCTGCAACTTATGCAACTAGTGTAAAAAAACTTAATTGCTTTAATAACAGTCACTTTTGCATTTTGAGGCATTAGTAAGAAGGGAATGTTTTATCAGAAAGGGGAATATGAAATGTTTTGCAGTTGTATTTCTTGAGTATCAATTGTAGCTTTTCCAGACCCAGGAAGCTCGCTGAGATGGCCCCTTACTACACACTCATGTTGCATAACTCATTTTCTGGTGTCCTTGTTTTGTTCATACTGTGAGTGTCAATTACCTACTATACTTCAGTTCCTTACTCAGCCACGTCTCATTGTGCTAGCAGCACATTGCGGTACACGTCGTCACTGCTTCTTTGGAACATGCCGCAGATTGATAGCTGTGCCCGAAACATTTTACCTGGTGTTATTTCCACCTCAAATTCATTTGCATATGACTAAGTTGGAAGCGGTGCAGTGTTCTAAAAGGTCGAAACAAATAGCTGAAATGCACTTATCAGTAACGCGCAATAGTAAAAAAAATTCATCTGTAAAAGAAATGTTCACTGCTGACATTCTGTGCGGCAGTTCAGGGAGAAGTGTTCTGTAGGTATTGAACTGAGTGGCTACTGCTGATAGAGACACAAGTTTCAGAGCATCTTTTTGCCCTTTGCTTTCAGCATTTAACATTGCTGGTCACAATCAAGCACAGCCTGTAGTACATATTTCAACTGTACCTTGGGCATAAAGGCATTAGTGGAACATGTTTACATGTTGGGAGACATTGCTGTGCCTGTTGGTGATCTCTGTGCTGAGTGGATGTTTTACACTGACTGCCTCTTTCTGACTTGGAACTCTTCATTTCTATTTGCCCTGTGGTTCAACTACCATGTGCAGCAAGACCTGTAACACTAAGTAAACGCTTCTCATGCTTCTCTGTGAGAAGTCATATAATCAAAAAGCAAAAAAAAAAAGCAATTTGCTTCTTGCATTGCAAAAAACACTCACTCGAGCTAGATGGCAGTGACTATAGGAGTGCATTTGTGAGCACTAGCTGTAAGAAGTATGATACCTTTAATTTTAGGTATGCCATTATTGGAAAGCACTTGCCATCTGTTGTGCCTTTGGTGCAGGTTGCTTTATATGCATATCTTGTACACACAGAAGTAAGCTTGTTACTGAAGAAAAACAGTTTGTATTTTGTTTCTAGTAGACAAAGAAAAAAATGGCAAGCCTTTTCTGCTCCAGTCAATGCTTTAGCCACAGAGCTTTCTTTATGCAAGCACCTGCTTGGGTAGCCTGCGACAGTAATTTTGCTATCACATCGATGGTTGTGACAAGTGATGGGTGCTTGAATGTCTACTAGAAAGTCGTCTGTAACAACCTTCGGAAATACAGGTGCGCTTCTTCAAAGTGCATGGGGATTTCTTATTTAACCTTTGTATTCTATTTACTTGTTTCGTGTATGCTGTAAGTATTAACACTTTTCAACAGTGTTATTATTCTTGTATAATACAGAATTAGGAAATACATTTTAAATACAGCATAATTTCTCTGATTATCTGCTTGTGTCTACATATTATTTATATTGTTGAATCTGTGACAGTTTTTGTAGCAGCACATAGTGGTGATTCGTAGTGTTTGTTTCAGATTATCTTATAATTTCTACTGCTAGATGCTGATGGCTCGTGGTTTTCTATTTACCCTATGCAGAGAAGGAGCGGCAACGAATCATCATCCGGATAGCGGACGTGAACGATGAGCCTCCCTACTTTATCAACCGGCCGATTCCGATGCAGGCTGTTGTACAGTTGAATGCCCCGGCCGGCACTCCTGTCTTCAAGTTGCAGGCCAGGGATCCGGACACGGACCACAATATTCGCTACTCTATTGTGCGCGACAGGAGTAAGTCCCTTTACCCTTTGCAGTTCTAGTTGAATGGTGCATACTGCCATCAAGCATATATGGTGATTTTGTTCAGCATTTTTCATTAAATTTTAAGAGGCACAAGTTATGCTGATTGATGCCTTTCCTGTTTTGTCAATTAAATGTTCTCACCATTTTAAACAGTGTGGTAGCCAAGAGGGGGGAGGTTGGAAAGGTTCGATTCCCTTCCCCCCCCCCCCCCCCAAATTTTTCTTCTAACACTTCCCCCTGCCACTTACCCAACTTTTTTTTTTTTTTTTTTTTGCTGAAAAAGCTGTTATGAGATCACTTTTTGGGTCACGCGCAGTTGTCTGCGCCGCCGCCGCCAGTGTCCGTAACCACATCGCGCGAAATTAGAAAAAAAAAAAAAAAAACCTTGCACCAATGATACAGTGGGGTGCTGCGTGCCAGCCCGATATTCTGCCACTAAGTTACGTCGGTGCTTAGAACTTGTTGTCAAACTTGCCTTAGGCAGGCATGACCTCACACCAATGGCGCAGTGGGGCTCAAACCCGGGTCCGCTGGGTGCCAGCCCCGTATTCTACCACTGAGCTACACCGGTGCTTGTGACTTGTTGTCAAACTTGCCTCAGACAGGCTTGATGTCGGGAAAGCAATCATGTAATACGGCATATAAAGCGTTTTACAACAGCTAAAGAACAACCAGTTGCGCACAGTGCGAATAGCGTAACGAGTGGGCTGCCAATGGTCCAAAGCATCACAAAAGCTTGTTCTTCCCTATTAACAGTAGCACATACCCACATCAGCCGTAGTTCCTCATCGTCGTCAGCCACTGCATGGACAATTTGCAGAAAATTCCTTGCAAATGGTTAGCGGATACCACACTTCTCAAAATAATGACGAAAAATAGCATAGTGAATGCTGGCCTACTACCCCAAAAAATTTATTATTAATGCTCTTGTGTGTCAAGCAAGTGTGCTTACAGTAGTTACCCAATGAGTGTTTTGAAAAGGCTCTGATAGGCCGCTCTTCTAGCTTTTGCTGTGACTGTGCTGCGCCCTCCACGCAGGCCCGGCGTTTTTTTTTTCGTCCCTTCGCGCTGACACGATTTAGAAACTAAGCGCCTATACTACCACAATATCATTCTTGGGTGCTTTTACAATTAATAATGTTTGCATACGGAAAAATGTGTTGCGGTGTTTCTCAAGGCTTTGGCACTCTGAGACTTTAGGCAGGAATCTTGGCCCCGAGTGTTTTAAGTTGGCTCGGCGATGGCATTAATGCTTAAGGGGTGGTCATACGTGTACCCGCCAGAACAGATCTCGCCGGAGTCTATCACTATGATCATTTTCAATACACCGAGGTTTGCTCTAATGGAAAAAGCGAAAGTTCCAAGGACTTATAGGCCGCGTTCAAGCATATTGCAATGTGACTCTTTGTACGTGTAACAAGTCACAAACACTGGTGTAGATCAGTGGTAGAATACTGGGCTGGCACCCAGCGGACCCGGGTTCGAACCCCACTGTGCCATTGGTGCTAGGTCATGCCTGCCTAAGGCAAGTTTGACAAGTTACACACCAGAACACAGCGAGCTCGATGCTTGCTGCCATATTGAAAAGCGCGTGGCGCTGTCTGTTGTAAGCGCGGTGAAGCAACACTCTCAACTGCCAGGCGAGCAGACGCTCTGCAAATCAAATGCGAAACTTCACAACTCGAGTCCGGCTGTAAGCATGTTTCGCGCTGTTCCTGTGCTAAGTTTATGCTAATGCCGTGTGAAACGTCGAGGACACCTTCCTCGACAGTCCGGAATGTCTGCAGCATGTGCGTTGCAGAATACGGAAGCAGCTTGATCAGGTACGTACTATTGCGATCGGAAGAAATGCGAACAGTGGAAAGCGTTGCTTTTGACTCAGTCGAACTGCGGTGTGCCTTAGCTATGGCAAGGCAGAATTTGTGCTGTAAGCCAGCGTCAGCATAACACTAGAATCTGGTTCCAACTTACGCTCATGCACCGCATGTGTATCATTTGCAAGTCCTGCGGGGCACTCGGAACACACGTGCAGTGCAAAAGTGCCAGCCAGAACAAGATTTTAAAATGCTACGGTGATGCCGGCCGAAAGCACATGTAGATTCGCCTAGTGACAGTCAAGGCATGTCGCAGTTTGACCGGGTCGAAAGTCATGCTTTCCGCGCCGTTCACGCTTCATGATAGTAGGTCGTTACGGTTGTAATAAACATGCACGGTGCGTGCATCCACGCGTGAGTCGTAATACGTATATTCTATTATTGACATGCGGCCTGCGAAAAAGTACGGCAATAGCTTTGTGCCTCATACCACAGGCATACTGCATGGAAATCGCTGCTGTAAAGTGAAAGAGCTAGAGTCGCGCTTGAATAAACACAATAAGTTTACTTACTCATACACTTCACAGGGCTCGTAGTTTTCCTGCTGATTGCGATTATATCCTAAGGCGGTGGAGCTCGGCGTTTTTCGTTGTGGACGAGAATCTGTGCAATCGAAAAACATCGCACCGGCACGATTCCCGCGATGCGCTGTGAACTTCACAGGCAGTGCTCAGCAATCTCTTCCTCTTGGGCTGGTTGTTGTCGCATCAGATGACAGCGCAATGGTACCCAGATGACAGTTTATGAGCAGGCGGAGCGTGAACAGGCGCTTTTTCGCATTTTAAACTCCCAGAGCCACTGCATTCCATGCTAGCGGGGCGTGCCTTGGCAGTTGCAAACAAATTATGGAGTCTCTGGGAGCGAGGTTATATTGCCGAAGGCGCCTGGGTTCGAGATAGGCGTGCTCAGGTCTATAAGCACCAGCGTAACTCAATGGCAGAATATTGAGCTGGCATGCAGCGGACCCGGGTTCAAGCCCCACTGTGTCATTGGTGCAAGTTTTTTTTTGTAATTTTGCACGATGTGGTTACGTACACTGGCGGCGGTGGACAACAACTACGCGTGACCCGATAAGTGATCTCGTAACAGCTTTCGCTGTAAAAACTCTGTGCAAGCAATGTCTAACATTGCAAACAGGCACAAAACATAGCGGAATCTTATTGATTATCATTTTCAATCGACACGAAGATTATCCTGCACATTACATGTCGTAATATATGCCCCATATGTTACCTAAAATATGCGAGAATCGCCACATGCAAATTTGTGTTGTTGCATTGCCGTTCAAACCTTTCGTATCCGCGAACCACGTCTGCAAGTGGAAGGTGCCACTTAAAAAAAGCAAGGAGGAGGCAAGGAGAGAGAACTTTGTCACTCTGTCATGCTGTCAAAGTGATTTTCAGCAATATGTCTCATATAGTTGAACTTTCTTCCTGCTGGACGAAAAGTAGCACATACTGATTTTATCAAAACCGTCCTTTTTACTAGCCACCAAGATGGTGAAATTGGTGCTCTAATGCTGACCCGCAGGTAGCAGGATTGAATCAGTTGTTTTTTGATGTAGGCGAAAATTTTTGAGGCCCGTGCATTTTGATTTAGGTGCATGTTAATGAATCGGTATTAAAATATTTAGAATGCTCCACTAAGACGTCTCTCGTAATCACATCGGGGTTTTGTGATGTTAAATGCCATCAATCGATCATTAACAGCTATGTTTTTACTGTTGTTCAGAAAATCTCAATCCAAGAAAAACTTAAGTTAACTTTCTTCCTAGATTTTTAGCAGGTGCCTATGGTTGGTACTACACACACACACACAATTAGCTGAAGCCGTCTACATTCCCGGTAAAGAACAGAATGTCTTCCAGGTGGACTTGTATTTCACGGTGGATGCTTAGAGAGCTATGCCAAATAATCCTTCATTTGTTGTTGTAGGTCTCGGGTACAACTTTAGGCGTCTCACAGATAAAAAAGAGCGTTCTACTTCAGTTGTGCTCACTGGCAGAGTTGCCAGAATCTTTAGAAGGTGGTGCGTGTTTGGAAAGAATACCTTTGGGCAATCGGCAACCGCTTGCATAGCAAACATGCTCAGCGTTTGTAGCTTCTCTTGCTCTGAATTCGCAGGCCACACTGCTAACTCCCCTTGCAATGCCGAAGTTGAGATAATGTTCGAGTATACGTCGGCAAACTTCTGGGCAGTGGGAAGAGAGGCAGATTCGGGAATATTCTGTGGCAGAAGGGAAGAAAGAATCTTCAAGGTGTGCCGATCCCTTTTAAAGCGCTCATTGAACTGGTATAATAAATAGCCCAGGAAATGCCAGCAATACTGAAACCCTGGAGTGGTCTTCAACGCTAGCCACTGGTACGTTACTTCGGTGAAGCTGCTTATCTGTGACAAGTGGTATCCTCATTTTTGCCAGTGGTCAAGTGTGCACTGAGAGCAGCGTCGCCTTTCGGGAAATAATTAGCAAGCGTTATACCGTACGGTGTTTCGGCGTGACAGAGTCTCATAGAAGGGCGCTGATCGACCCAGGACACAAACTACCCAGCAATACGTGTAAACAGCATATTTCAAGGGGGTGACTTTGCATTGCAAGGAAGCAACACACAGCAAAGTTTCGGCAATGACCCTGAATGCGAGAAACGAGACTTTAGCAACAATACATGTCTGCTGGTAAAGTTCCGCCTTAAACACTAGCGCTCGTTTCTCGCTTGGCGGAAATATTCGCAGGTATACATTTCCCCCGCTTCTCTTCAGGCTCGCTGGCCCGGTATGTAGGGTCGCGATGGCCCAATATCTTACTCTGCGTGCGAGACGTCTCACGCTTGTGATTGCGTCCTTGTGGAAGGCTGGTAGTTTCTGTCGCAATGTGATGCAATACCACAAACGTGAATGAACACGAAGGAGCTGGTGGCAGCAGTGAAATTCTAGCGACTCGCATCAGAATGCCCGAAACAGAAAACAAACAGGCATGGATGGTGCAAAGTAGATCGTGTTGCATGCGCTGGAAGTTCTCGTCGAGTCTATGCGTTCTGAGAAATGGATTATGTTGCACTATGCTCTGAACAACTCCGGAGTTCATACCTTCATCACTGGTGAACCGATCACTGAAGATTTTGTGCAATGCGAGGCTGCTCCTGTTCACGGTGGTTTAAGTGCTAGAAACATGAATGCACGTATGCTGCGCGGTGAAATAGTCTGTACAGTTCTGAATCTGTTGACTAAAGAAAAATCTCGGCTGCACGCTTGCAAACAACGGAATACATCTTGCCGCAAATTGTTTCAGGGAGCTGAGTAACGAAAGCTACTCAAAAAAACAAAACAAGAACATTCTGCGTTTTATTGCGCGTATTTTTAGCGCATATATGGAGCGAACAAGCTAGTTTTATGTCAGTAGGTATAGTCCGGTCGCACGTGCACTATCAATCAAGATCAAGTGACCATTTTTCATCAATGATTACCTTGCCCTCGCAGATTGCATGATAAAACCTCTACGATTGGAGTACTTTATTGTTATCAAAAGTCACAGTGCAACTGAAATTCTGCCCGAAAAATAACGTGTGCAAAATCGTGTGGCAAACGTGCAGCATATCTTAAAAAAAATTGCGTATTGCAAGCATGCTTGAATTCACGCAGTGAAGTAAAAAACGTTCACTGAAAGATACCACTGCATCAGGGCTGCTTGACATATATAGGTTAACATAAGAATAATTTCCATATGCATGCAGTCACAGGCATTCACAGTAAGAAATTCGCTCGGCAAAGTAAGAAAAACCAAAATGTAATTATGAATGTACAAAAACATGTGTATACCTCTCGTTCCTCTTTATAAGTGGAACCCTCCTTGACCTGTCAAATGCACTTCGCCTTGATGAGGACTATACTTAAAGATGAACGATTAACGATGTCTTCTCCGATTAGATGGGTCACCGCAATAATGCGTTTTTGAAGAGTAGTCCAGTCAATCGTGCGACGAGAGGCTGTTGCTCTAAATGGTCATTGTATCTGTCGTTTACTGTATTTTACAGTACTTCTTGCACTACTGCCCCGCCACCATGGTCTAGTGGCTAAGGCACTTGGCTGCTGACCTGCAGGTCTCGGGATCGAAGCCCGGCTGTGACGGTTGCATTTTCAATGGAAGCGAAAATGCTGTAGGCCCGTGTGCTAAGATTTGGGTGCACGTTAAAGAATCCCAGATGCATGGTCTAAATTTCCAAAGCCCTTCACTACGGCATTTCTCATAATCATATGGGGGTTTCAATCAATCATTCTTCGAGGACATTTACTTACTCTCTTCACAGTCATACGCATGGGGAGAGGGGAATATCATGGCTTTGATACACATGCACACCATCTGTTTAAAATACCACCGTAGTGACGTCACAGAAAAAAGCTCATGCCTGTCTCCCCCAGTCGGGTCAGTGTGACCCCCGCCCCCCCCCCCCTGAAAAAAATTTCTGGCTGCACCCCTAATTTTAGAGCTGCATATAGAAAAAAAAAAGCTCTGTCTAAACCTAGTATGTCTTATCTAACGTTTTATCTGCAATATCCTCAGTGACATCCTAGTGTGCAGGTGTCTTGAAAGTGACACTAAACAGAAAAATGATTTTCTGTGTATTAAGTAGAATTTCACAATCCTGAAAACGCCACTCTTACCGAAGTACAATTTCACAATCCTGAAAACTCCACTCTTACCGGGAGACTATGCTTGGCAAGCGAGAAAAAGTGCGAAAAGAAAGTGCGTGATGAGATGTTACCATGAGGTTCCCGCACCGAATAAACAGGACGTTATATATTTTGAAGCCGTCTACTGGGTCCTAAGTCGCGTCTAATCGATAAAAATGAAGTACTTTGTCATCTGTAGGTGCTATAGGCCTAGCATACAAATTTTAAGAAAATTTAATCAAGCTAATGTGGAGAAAATACGAAAAATACATTTTGAAATTTCAGACGTCGGGCGTGGATTTTGGTGCAAAATTTAATAACGAAGCTTCAACCTTGATTTTATTCTCTAACAATGAACTTGTGATAGCAAAACTTATAGCATTAGAGTTCTCAGAGTGCAGTTTATAAATCTAAATCAAGTCATTGTTTCTCTTTGGTGTCCTTGCAACACTTTTCTAAATAATCATCACATGGCTTTATTCTAGGAGTTTATTGCCTCACGAATTTGCTGGAAAGATTTTTAACAATCGTCAAGTACAAGTGGTAGTTGCATGAATTTTATGCATGCTTTAAGTGCTTTCTCTCTTCTTTAACCTAAGCGAGCAGGCTGAAAGCTACTCAGAGGGTGAATGAAAAGGGGGCAAGAAGCTACGTTCTTTAGTCAGCACACATTATGACCTTGAGCACTTTATTTTCTTTTTTTTTTTGAACATGCAGCCACTTTCACTGTTGTGCACAAGTGCACAATCACGTGGCGTTATCCGATGATGGCCGTGGTAACTATGCAGCTCACAATGCTCAAATCAGCCAATTGTCATGGACTTTGGGCTTATGGAGCCATCAGTTTGGTTTATGGCATCATTTGTCTATAGAACAGGGAACGATTTCTAGCTGCCTTTGATAATTAATCGTAAATCCCACGCTGCATGCTGCGCTATAATGTTTGGCTTATGTGTTCTCGGGAGCTTCGACTGGCAGTAATTTCTGGCCATGCTCAAAGTGTTGTGTTCTTTTTAAGCTGATGGGGCTAAATGGGGCTGATATTTTCAACAGCAGTGCTGCTTGAGCCAGCTGTAATTATTCCTACGCAATTGGAGGAAGAAAAAAGAACTTGTGCTGTGATGATGTCACCGTTCATTGCCTAGCTACTGGTTGCACAGCTGTGCACCCGCTTTGCTAGCCTATACACTGCTCCGCCACCAGTCCACATGCCTGGACGTTGCGCACAACTTTTTCAATCATGGTAGACAGGACATCACGGCCAACTGCACGTGTTCCTTTGTTCTGTATAAAGCTGGCACATGTCTGCAGTGCACAGCACCAGCTGTAGACTGTAGAGATTGCAGAAGGTTCGCACTGCCGATGAGGAAGAAGCTTTTTGGGAATCGTGGTGTGCTGCCAAGCGAGACTTCTCCACGGGACTCGTTTAAAGTAGTCAATGCCATAGTACAGTTGAAACAGCGAGAGGCTACTGCGCTGACTGAACTTAACTGGAACTTGGCATCACTTGCCATTACTTCGTAATGCCGAGTTCGGTACATCATTGTTGGAAAGGAGTTGCAATCTGTGGCGCCAACATGCTGGACTCGACTGTAACTTAGCATTATGCCGCACTACTTTGTATAACTTAGCATCACATGCCATTACTTCCAGGGCCGTAACTAGAGGGCAGTTGAGGGGGTTCTGACACCCCCTGAAATTTTTTCTTGCTTTAACTTTTCGGGTGATACTAAATCATTTACATGCCTTCACATCAACCACCATTTACCAAAATTAGCAGTTCTGCAGAAAAACACTCCCCGAACAATATTCCTGGGTACGGCCCTTATTGGTTCGTATAACTTAGCACCGCGTGGCATCACTTCCTATTGCCAGCACCAGTTGGGACCCAATGAGCTGCACTGCCACTTTAGTACTGACACATAAACTTTGGTCTCGCGTTTTTCTGCTGTAATGTGTTGCTGGGGTCTGTTAGTCATAACACGACACATTGTTCGCTACAGCATGCGACATAATTAATTGCAGGTTTCGTTATCAACCAGTTTCAGTTTCGGTTTCACAAGGTTCCGAAAACGAGAACTTGTTAGGTGCAACTATCGCCACCTAGCGTGTGCAGCTCTCGACCACGTCAGCACTCAGAACTGTGACGCACTTCGGCACGGTCCGCATCAAGAATTACTTTCCAAAAAGAAACCTGACTGCAGTGTCGCCAAACACAAGACTTTCAAAGCATGTGCCACGGCCACGCTCTCGCAACCAGCCGCCGAGAAATAATAGACTGCGGGAACAGACGAGACAAAAGGAAAATGGTGGCCATGACGTAATCAAAACTTGTTTTATTGACTGCAGCGTGGGGACGTGAGGGAAGTAGGGGGTCCCGAAAGGATCCCCTTCGAAGGTTTGAGTGGCACGATAGAGCCGTGCACTCACGCGAACTTGATTTAAAGTTCCTTCCAAGCTATTCGCTGTTGATAATTTGCAGATGATATGAATGTTCACAAGAATTGACACCGCAGGCTATCTCGGCAGCGAAATTTTGTCAGTACCCCTTTAACCTTGCACTACTACTGCAAGCTTTTTTGTTACTATTTTTGCAAGCTCTTTTTATTATAGACAACACTGTTTTAAGATTTTGAATTAGTTGATAACCTTCTCCTATTTCTTATAATGCAGGTGGCAACAGGTTTGACGTGGACCCGCATTCGGGCGAGGTGGTGACCCTTGGCAATGCACCATTCATGCTGGACAAGGAGTACGTGCTATATGTCAAGGCTGAAGATCTGAATGGCCAAGTTGGAGACAGACAGCACCAATCAACACGTGAAGAACGCCTCTCAGTGGTTGGCGGCAAGCGCCAACCTCAGTTTTATGTGCCATTCTATGAGGCTGTGATACCGGAGAATCAAAAGAAAGACTCTGAGTAAGTTTGCAGACAACTTGCCAAAGCATTATTGCTGAACATGCTATTGCATTATCAAGACACAGACACTACAGTACAGGCTGTGCTGTATTCTACTCTGTCGCAGAGATGTCAACAGCTCTTATCACATATGTGTTGTGTAAGTGGGGTTTGTTATCAAGCTGTAAGCCATTCTTAATAGCGGTTTACTGTTTGAAAAAAAAAAAAAATAGTGGTTCCACATTGATGCAAATTTCATTGTGTAAAATAGACTTTAGATAGTTTGTTTAGCACCTCCAAACTGATAGTATTCCTTCCGGGACACATTTAGCATTGAAAAAAACTAGGATGTAAAAAGAAATGCCTAAATGAGTGAGCTTTCCGACATATCATTACCATTACCACAGCTGCACTGAGGTAGGACAGTGCCGAGGTTATATGACTGCACAAATTTCTGTAACCTCCACATAATCTCTACTGGCTGAATGAACAAGAATACTAATGGTTTTCAAAATGAAACTCTGGGGTGGCACAGTGACCAAACCAGGAAAGTTGATTTTAAGCTTATGGATCACTGTTAGAGCTACATGCTGGAGGTGTGGTTTCTGGCACATATAACGGTGTGAGCATGCTCAGCTTCTCAGTGGCTAGCTACATTGATGTGTTTGAATCGGCAGTGTCATTGAAGCATGTAAGTTAAGGCATGTATTAACTGGGTGATTGGTTTGGGAGTCCTGCATGCCTAATCTTTATTCACAATAGGTTTTCAAGGCATAAAAAGAAACCCTTAATATGTGTTGTCATACCGCAGGTGTCTCTGCTGATATGGATAGAATTTTTGCAATTTAACCATTCTCTGCATAAGCTGTAGCCAGGGTTTTTTTTGTTGAGTGTATCACAATATTTTGCTGTTTGCTATATATCTGCTTGGTTTTGGTGGTGCCTTTGCGAGGTACAGGGGGAAGAGACTCAATCGACGTACCGCATTGTTGTTGTAGCAATGTGACCTTGGTGGCAATAAAAAGATGCTAGAATGCTTCTTGATTATATCATGGATGAATGTTTTAGATTTTTATTACCATCAAGGCTGCAGCTGCTTAAAAAAATTGCTAAACAGCAGAGGATGCTGCTTTGTTTGTGTTTCTTTCAATTTCCATAGTACATATTGTATGTACTTGTGTGTGTTTTGGAGCATGTGACTCCATGGCATACTGTTTTTACCATTGTCTGCATCTGTTTTTGGTACTGCTTTATACTTCTCCTTAGTAGCTCTTCCATGCATGTCATGTTTTGTATTTGGTATCTATTATAAGTAAGAACAACTTTTTTAGACATGGCTGCAGAGGGAACCATCTTCCATTCTCCTGTCTCAACCTCTTCTGCTCAGTCTTGCCTTGCCATGCTCTTCGTTTTAACTGTCCTGCGCACAGTTGTAGGTATTTCGAGAGCTTGAACACTGTAGAACATTAATAGTCAGAAATTTTCGATTTGCCGCGATTATGCAGTCTTGAAGAGATATGCTGCAAACAGTGGATGTGATCACAATAGTGTTTATACGCCAGTGTAACGCCAGCAGTGATGGAAAGTGACAACAAATACGTAATGTTGTGTTTGTCAAGCCTGCAGTCCCACGAACACTGCTTTCTAGCGTGCTAAATTGTTTTACAAGAGCTACTGCACTTTCCTGGGGCTTCTTCGACACCACGGACCCGAGCTAACGGGGGAGTTTTGACTCCCTCCCACGCCTAGCCGTGCGTGGCTTAGCCGTGTCCGGGGAAAAGGGGATCCTGGGGGTTGAGCCGACGCTGGGTGATTGGACCTTTAAGGCCCCCCGGCAGAGGCAACACACCCCTTTGGCCCCGGTTTCACGTAGACGGCACCTCTGGGCTGACCCACCCAGGGGAAATCGGCAGTCGCCTTTTCCTATCTCTTTCTCCCTACATCTTCGTCTTTATCTCTTACTGTTTATCTGTCCTGTCTTCTACTCTCTTCCGTTTACTTCCAAACTTCCTGGCGGCTTCCTGTCTTCTCCTCACTTCATTTTACTTCCCATTTTTCCTGGCGGCAAGGGTTAACCTTGTGTGGCTATCCAAACTAGGGTAAACCATATTGGGTTATAGTAACTGCGTACTGCTGGCGTTGCGCAGACATGCCCACATGCTCTGCCACGTCCCCTTGTTGGACTCCGTGGTGGGTGGTAGGCGCCGTTACCGAAAAATACACATTTTCCCATGGGATCCTCGACCCCCTCTTCAAATGATCGTGTCTCGAAAAGGGTACGCACCGACGCAACTTCACTACTTTGGTCGAAAAACAGAGAAACTTTCCCAAAATACCATGTCCTCCACTGCGAACATTCATCTACAAAAGCTAGAGCAATCTCACCCTTTCTTGTGGCCAAGTGCTTGAGAGAGACCATTGGAACCGGTTATAAGGCCACGAAGATGGCAAGTGGAGATCTGCTTCTCGAATTAAAAGACAAGGAACAGTACAATAAACTCTCGCACCTTGTAGCTTTTGGTAACATCCCCGTCTATGTGAGTGCACATCGTACAATGAATACAGTGAAGGGCGTGGTATCGGACGAAGATTTGATGACACTGAGTGAAGAAGAGCTTCTTGATGGATGGAAGGACCAAGGTGTAATACATGTCCAGCGCATCATAATCAGACGCAACAACAACGAAATAGCAACAAAGCACTTAATACTCACCTTCAACTCAACCACTTTACCTGAGACTCTCGAAACTGGCTATATAAAACTCCATGTCCGACCCTTCATTCCTAACCCGAGGCGTTGTTTCAAATGCCAGCGATTTGGTCATGCATCCCAGAGTTGCCGAGGGCAGCTGATCTGTGCTAAGTGTGGCACAACCGGCCACAGTGCTGATGAATGTAGTCATGATGAGGTCCTCTGTGCTAACTGCGAAGGTAGTCAACCCGCATACTCCAGAGCGTGCCCAGCCTGGAAAAAAGAAAAAGAAATAATAACTATAAAAGTAAAGAAAAATATCACATTCAGGGAAGCAAGACAACGGGTCTCACTAACATTGGCACTGAAAACACCTTTCGCCGAAGTGGTGCAACGAGGGGCGGCACCACAAAGGCCCTTGGCATTTGCCCGGGCCTCGCCTAGCGTGCCGAGGCCAATGCCACAAGCCCCTACGGCGGGAGCAGCTAGCGCTGCCCTGCCCAAACTCAGCCTGTCCACACCAGCGACCTCGACAAGCTCTGGCGGCAGCCAGGGCAATCACGAGGCCAAGGGGGCTCCATCGACCCCCAGCTCGGTGGGGACAAAGACTTCGTTGATCGAGGCGAAGTCTAAGCGACGCACAGATCGCTCTTTAGAGCGGGTGTCCAGTGCCTCGCAAGAGGCTATGGACACCAGTTCAAGCCAAACGGCGCAGGAAGCGCCGAAGGAGCGGCGAGCTTCGCTCGACCGCCCCAAAAAGGACAGAACGCCGATTACAGGGCCTGACAAAGGCCCTGTAAAATGAGTTAATCCCCGTCTTCTTTGCACACAGCACTTTTTCCCTTTTTTTTTTCTCCACTATGGACAAAATTATACAGTGGAACGTAAGGGGAATACTTAGAAATTTAGATGACGTCCAAGAACTTCTGTGTAAGTTTAATGCGGAAGTGCTATGTGTGCAAGAAACGCACTTAACTCCGAAGCACAAGGACTTCCTACGACAATATATTATTTTCCGAAAAGACCGGGAGGATCCTGTCGTACCATCTGGCGATGTAGCCATTATAGTCGATCGTAGTATAGCATGCCAGCATTTGAAGCTCCAAACGGCCCTTGAGGCAGTGGCCATTCGAGCTGTACTTTTTAACAAACTCATTACCATATGTTCTGTGTACATACCACCGCATCAACAGCTACACAGACGTGATCTGGAATCATTAATAGATGAACTCCCAGAGCCATTTTTGGTTCTAGGTGATTTTAATGCACACAACGTCCTGTGGGGCGATGCTCACTGTGATGCGCGAGGACGTCTCATTGAGCAGCTCCTTTTCTGTTCTATATGTCTTTTAAATATGAAGGAGCCTACGTATTTTAGCCTTGCAAACAACACATACTCCTCCATAGATCTTAGCATTTCATCACCGTCCCTTTTACCTGCTTTTAAGTGGAACGTTCTTAAAAACCCTTATGGGAGTGATCACTTCCCAATCATCCTGAGTGCGCCGAACAAAGATCAACTACCCCCGCAGGTTCCTCGATGGAAGATTGACTCAGCCGATTGGGAAGGGTATAGAACTCTTACACACATTACATGGACTGAGCTGTCTGCCCTGACTATAGATGACGCTGTCACGTATTTTACAGCTTTTATACTTGATGCTGCATCTAAATGTATTGCCAAAACGAGTGGCATGTGTTCTAAACGGCGAGTCCCATGGTGGAACGACGCATGCAGGAAAGCACGGACCACTCGGAACAAAGCATGGGCGCTGCTTCGCGATTCCCCTACAGCAGAAAACCTGGAAAATTTCAAGCGGGTCAAATCGCAGGCAAGGAGAACACGTCGACAAGCTATACGAGAGAGCTGGACAAAGTTTATATCGAGTATCAACTCGTACACAGACGAGGGAAAAGTGTGGAATAAGATAAAGAAAATCAAGGGCCAACAAACGTATTCTCTTCCACTAGTTAGTAGCCTCGGGGAAAGCTTGGAGGATCAAGCCAATTTTCTTGGCACACATTTCGAACACATATCGAGCTCCTCACACTACTCCGAGTCCTTCCAGAATTACAAGGCACGAATAGAAAAACAAAAGTTAGAAAGAAAATCCACAAGAAATGAGGCATATAATGCACCATTCTGCTTAGCAGAACTGCGAACAGCACTCAGCTGCTGTAATACATCTACCCCAGGTTCTGACAACGTTATGTACGCGATGCTGAAGGAACTACCCCCCGAAACTAAAGAAACCCTCCTCTTTCTTTATAATCGCATATGGTTTTCGGGTGTGATCCCCTCCTCCTGGAAGGAGGCTGTTATAATTCC